CAGGAACATGTCAGCTTTGATTTTAACATTAACTTAACAGTTGTTTAAAAATCCCTTAGAGAGGTCAAAGTGAACAAGTTCAGATCTTTGTGTAAGGTGTTCCAGGAAACAGGAGCGGAGTAGGAGAAGGCCCTTTTGCCGAGTTCAGTCCACACTGAGGGACGCTGCAGGTAATTATGGCTTGAGCGCGCACGCTGTAGCTGCACTGACGACGTGACATGTAGGAAGAGGTATATGAAGGCAACAGACCAGGAAGTGATTTAAAGATGAAAATGTACCAGCGAGAGAGTCTGCGTGATGATGACCAGTTAACCATTGAATACAGACAGGGTGCAGTGGTGGGTACGGTAGTTGCATCCAGTTATGAATCTTAATGCACCATGAGAGACAGCATCCAACATCTGCAAGGTGCTTGTAGGATTGTAGCATGTAGCTTGTAGCATTCATATACTGTAGATAATGTCACCGTAGTCAATGGAGGGAAGGAAAGTAGCAGTTAGAGCTATTTAGTGACAGTAACTGAAAACATTGCAAGGATGCACCTAGCAACAAAATTAAATAGAATAAAATAAAATAGAGAAAAAAATATTTGTTTTATTACATCCATCCATCCATCCATCCATTATCTTTACCCGCTTATTCCATTTTGGGTCACGGGGGTCGCTGGTGCCCATGTCCAGCAATCACTGTGCGAGGGGCGGGGTACACCCTGGACGGGTCACAAGTCCATCACAGGGCCACATAGAGACAAACGAGACAAACAACCATTCACTCTCTCACTCACACCTAGGGACAATTTAGAGTTACCAATCAGCCTAACATGCATGTTTTTGGTCTGTGGGAGGAAACCGGAGCACCCGGAGAAAACCCACGCATGCACGGAGAGAATATGCAAACTCCACCCAGAAAGGCCCCTGGACCGGGGTTTGAACCAAGGACCTGCTCGCTGAGAGGCAGCAGCTCTACCAGTTGCGCCACCGTGCTGCTGTTTTATTACATTTTATAGATTTTTCTTCTAACTTGTGTTTTCTGATCAACTATTAAAGTTGTTTTTAAAATGCATTATATCAGCAAGGACAGAGACTCAACATCTATGCATTTTATTTTTTCATAACTAAACTAAAGTTGATTATGTTGTTCGGTGTCCTAGATGAAGCTCTAAAAACCTTGATGCAAAATTACAAAACTGCCTAATTTATTGTACTCATTTGATAAGTTCTCAGTCTGTAATTCCCATTAAAATATGATACAAGGAAACAATGAAGGTTCTGGAAATATTACAATGCATCATGAAGATATTTCATGTATATTTTCTTTATGCATGTATGGAAAGTCCAAAAGCGTGTATGTTAGTTTGTTAGCTGATGTTTCAAAATAGTGAAAGTGCCGTTCTGTGATGAACTAATAAACTGCAGGATTTTCTTCTTCTTTCAGCTTTTCTCTCTTCAGGGGTCTCCACAGTGAGTCATCCTTCTCCATCTCACTCTGTCCTCTGCATCCTCTGTCCTCACTCCAACTACCTCCATGTCTTCTCTAACTGCATCCGTATATCTTCTCTTTGTCTTTTTTCCTGGCAGCTGCATTTCCAACATCCATCCATCCATCCATCCATTATCTTTACCCGTTTATTCCATTTTGGGTCACGGGGGTCGCTGGTGCCCATGTCCAGCAATCACTGTGCGAGGGGCGGGGTACACCCTGGACGGGGTCGCAAGTCCATCACAGGGTCACATAGAGACAAACGAGACAAACAACCATTCACTCTCTCACTCACACCTAGGGACAATTTAGAGTTACCAATCAGCCTAACATGCATGTTTTTGGACTGTGGGAGGAAACCGGAGTACCCGGAGAAAACCCACGCATGCACGGAGAGAACATGCAAACTCCACCCAGAAAGGCCCCTGGACCGGGGTTTGAACCAAGGACCTTCTCGCTGAGAGGCAGCAGCTCTACCAGTTGCGCCACCGTGCTGCCCCATTTCCAACATCCTTCTACCAATATACCCATTATCCCTCCTCTGGACATGTCCAAACCATCTCAGTCTGGTCTCTCTAACTTTATCTCCCAGTTGTTCAACCTATGCTGTACCTCTGATGATCTCATTCCTAATCTTATCCATCCTTGTCACTCCTAAGGAGAACCTCAACATCTTCATTTCTGCCACTTCCAGTTCTTTCTTCTGACTTTTGTCACTGTCTCCAGACCATACAACATAGCTGGTCTCACCAATGGCTTGTAAACCTTTCCTTTGACCTTTGCTGGCACCTTTTTGTTACAAATCCCTCGTGAAACTTTTCTCCATCCACTCCATCCTGCCTGGACTCTCTTTTTCACCTCTTTACCACACTCCCTATTTTCCTGGACAGTGGACCCCAAGTACTTGAAGTCCTGCACCTTTGTGACCTCTGCTCCTTGTAGCCTCACTTTTCCACCGGTCTTCCTCTCATTCACACACGTACTCTGTCTTATTACGGCTGACTTTCATTCCTCTTCTTTTAAGTGTATACCTGCACCCCCCCAAGTTCTCTTACACCTGTTCCCAGTTCTCGTCACACATCACATTGTCATCTGTAAACATCATAGTCCACGGGGATTCCTGCCTGATCTCATCTGTTAGTCGGTCCATCACCAGAGCAAACAAGAAGGAGCTCAGAGCAGATCCTTGATGCATTCCCACCTCCACCTTGAAGCTGTCTGTCACTCCTACAGCACATTTCACCACTGTCCTGCTGTCCTCATACATGTCCTGTACCAGTGTAACATGCTTCTCTGCCACTCCAAATTTCCTCATGCAATACCACACCTCCTCCCTCAGCACTCTGTCATATGCTTTTTCTAAATCCACAAAGACACAATGGAGTTCTTTCTGACCCTCTCTGTACTTCTCCATCAGCATCCTCAAAGCAAAGATGGCATCTGTGGTGTCTCTTTCTTGGCATGGAACCATACTGCTGCTCACGAATCGTCACCTCTCACCTAAATCTTGTTTCCACAATTCTCTCCCAGATCTTCATCATGTGACTCATCAACTTAATTCCACTGTAGTTGCTACAACTCTGTACATCAACTCTGTTCTTAAAAATGGGCACCAGCACACTTCTTCTCCATTTCTCAAGAATTTTCTCACCTTCACATATGCCACAGAATATTTGTGTCAAAAACTTCAATGCCATCTCTCTAAGACATTTCCAAACCTCCACTGGTATGTCTTCAGGTCCTACTGCCTTCCTCTTCTTCATTCTTTTCAAAGCAATCCAGACTTCACCCTCACTAATCTTTCCCACTTCCTGATCCACAGCTTTATGACCTCTACTCTTCTTTCTCTTTCATTCTCTTCATTCATTAGCTCCTTAAATTACTCCTTTCATCTTCCCATCACACTCTCCTCACTTGTTAGAACATTACCATTCCTATCTTTAACAAACCTAACCTGCTGCACATCCTTTCTAGCCTGATCCCTCTGTCTAGCCATTTGTTACAAGTCCTTCTCGCCCTCTTTAGTGTCCAGTCTCCCATACAACGCATCATACTCCTTCTGCTTTGCCTTTGCTACCTCCTCCTTTGCTCTTTTTTTTCTTGGCGAACCTTTTACTTTGAACATATTCCTGCACTTCACTATTCCACTAGCAGGATTCCTTATCATCAATTCTCTGTTCAGATGACACTCCGTGTACCTTCCTAGATGTCTCTCTAGTTACTGTTGCTGTAGTAGCTCAGTCATTTGAAACTGTTTATTACCACCCAGAGCCTTTAATAGCTTCTCTCTGAATTTCTTTCTTTTCTGAAAATTAATAAACTGCAGGATATACTCCCTTTTTACAAATCAATACTTCAACATTACTTTTTTATACACCTGTTATATACCTCTGATGAATATTTGCCTTCTACAGTTGTACAATTTTCACAGCCCTTCCAGTTGTAGCCTTGCATTGCTGATAAATATTTACCTAATATATAACTGAGAATCTGCCTCCACATGCACCTGTTTTTCTTTCAGCTTTGTTAGGCATCATGGAGGGGAACCGTTTGTAAAGTTCACCATTCTCGTTTTTCCAAACTAGTTCCACAAAACAAGCAAACTTCATCTAACATTGTAGGAGGAAAGCAACAAGTTATGTTTTGTTTGAATCTGTTTTCATTTAGCATTAGGGGAATGGATAATAAAGAAAATAATGGTTTTATGTGTTTCTGTCTCAGAAGTTAGCAGCTCTCTGACAAACTGAACCATTCTGCTGATATATGATCACAATCAATAATTGCAAGTTGCAGAAATTACATAAAGTGTTGCGAAATGAAGGCAAATCCTGAATTGCTCAATATGAACATTTAGTTTTAACAGTTCTGGACTTGGGTCAGACAAGGATCTGTTAGTTTACTTACCTATCTTGCCACTCTAAAACAATCTTATATTTTTTTCATGACTGAACTTGAAGTGATAGTTTTTTCAACTTGTAATTTTACTTTTGAAAATTCAAAAACACTTTACTTCTACTTTTTCTTGCATTTATTTTAAATTAGAAAGCCTGAGCTGAGTTGTGTAATGCAGTCTGTTTTGTTTGCTCAATTGATTCCTGCAAATGATTAACAAGAATGTGAAATGCAACACAAACAAACATTTACAGGAATATTTGCTTTTTGTTGATGTTGGATTTATTTGATTAATGACTTATTGCAAAAAAAAAAAAAAAAAAGCTGTACCATAGTTAATTTGCACTGATACATGTTTACTTCCTAAATGTATGCTAGCTGGTAGCTTTTTTACAATGAGCTGCTAATATTGAAACCTGTTTTGTTTTGTAAATGTCATTTTTCTGCCAACAGTTACTTGAATCCCTTCTTGTTGTTCAAGGTTTTGATCGTAATACATTATATATTTTGGGGAGGTGTGTTCTCTTTTATTTCAGCTTGTCAGCTTTAATTTTGAGACTGACCACACTTGTGTAATTATTGAGCAATCTCTTCTTTTTTTTCTCCTCTCCAGTGAAATCAAAGCTCCTTCTCTGTCTGACAGTGGAGTGCTCTGTGGTGTCTTGCTCTGTTTGGTGTTTCAGAGTAAGAGGATAAAATGTCCAAAATCACCAAGCTTTGGGCCCTATTGTTGTGGATGCAAACACTAACCTTTGTGAAATGCAAAGGTAAGTCCTATAAATTATATGAATATGTTTTTTTTTTTTTTTTTTTATTTTATCTTAATACTTTGTCTTGATTTCCACACTCTGATGCAAATTTATTTTGATTGGTTACTGTCCCATAGATTGTACCCTTGAACAGTTTTTAAAGGGGCCAAACTATAATTCACATTTTGACACAACTAGTTTGGAAGAAACATACGCAGGTGGAAGACGAGTGAGGGTGCCCTGCAATGTTGGCTACACTGGCTTTTTCAGGCTCGTCTGCACTGAAGGAAACTGGGAACCTTTTGGCTCAACGTGCGAACGTACGTTACTTTACCGCATCACTTTTCTTTAGATCACACTCTCGTTAAATGGAATTACATACATCGGTATGTTTATTTTACACTGCAATATATTTTCCCCAAATCTTTCTTGTTTACATATTTTAAGCAATAGACTGTGGTCATCCCGGCGATGCCGAGTTTGCAGACTTCGAACTGGAGAAAGGAGAGGATTTTGTCTTTGGGTCACAAGTGATTTATAAGTGCCAAAAGGGGTATGATAGGAAAAAAAACTCAATAATTCTTTAATAATTTTATTTTTATCTCTCATCTGGTATGTTTTTGTTGTTGTTTGTATTTTTTAGTCATTGTGGCAGTTTTGTGATTTCCTTTAAGTTTTATTTTTTACTGAACTCATTTCAGTTATCATATGGTCAGCCGAAATTATCGCCGGCGTTGCACGGCAAATGGCTGGGATGGTGTTGTTCCAGTGTGCGAAGGTATGTCTCGAAATTACGTTTACTAAATCATTGTTACTCTATGTGAATTTTGCTGTCATTTAACACTATGGCATAATGTATCTTAACATTTTTGTGTTCCGTTTTATTTTTCTATTTTTGTCTTTGCAGCCAGTCAATGTCCAGTCTTTCATGTGGGCCCACATGTCCAAGTCATAGGGAATCCAGGAGAAGCCATTTTTGGCAACGTAGTTCGGTTCATCTGTGCATCGAACGATAAAATATTGAAAGGATCAGCCGAGATTTATTGCAATGAAAACGGAGCATGGGTTGGTGAAATTCCAACATGCGAAGGTACAGAATGTCATCAAAACAACAAAATCTCAAGCTAGCAATTCTAAACATAGGTTCACTCAGTGATGTACAACACCTAAAACACTAACAATTATTTGTAACCTTATGATGCAACATCAAATTTAACACTGAATGTAAAGTCATAAAAATTTAAAGTCAGACTGGCCTTAAAGATTAGAATGAAATCTGTTTGACTTTTTTGTTAAAAAATTGATTAAATAAACACTAGGACTGTAAAAAAAAATTACATAGGTTCAATATCTATTTATAGATGATTGACAACCCTTAAAACATACATTTAAATTGTTGTTATTATTTACAAGCAAACTGTGTAAAATAAATCCTTGTGTTTAACATCAACAGAAGTAAAATGTGATACTCCTGTAATTGAACATGGAGATGTGGTTGGTAGCCGCCAACAGTACAAAGAGAATGAAGAACTGAACTTTAAATGTGGCCATTTTTATAAACGTTCTGATGGCAGACCTTCAAGATGTGTGAAGGTCGGATCGAAGGCAGAATGGGTCCCAACACCTGGATGTGAATGTAAGTATGAACTAAATAACCCATATTGTTAGGTGTATGACAGAGGAGTTTTAAATGCACAGAATTAGTTCTTTTGAAACAAACTAACAAATATGTTTTGTTTTTAATGGCTCTAGTAATAAAATGTGGACTGACACGACTCCGAGGAACAACATACAACTTCCAAAACAAAAATTTGTTTTTACCTCAAGAAAAACTGCAAGTTACATGTGGGGAGAAGTTCTATATTTTGAATGCAAAAACGACGACAGCAGAAGTTACTTGCAAAGAAAATGGACAATGGGACATCAGCCCAGTATGCCTTGGTATAAATCCATATAAGTTTCAGAACTAGACTTACTGCGGGTTCATTATTTTTAGTATTCATAAAGTTTGATGACAGTAAGTTTGATGATTGTCAGTTTCTCTTTTAGCAGTTGAAAAAAAAAGCATTTTCTTTCATTCTAGAGGTCAGATGTCCAGCGAGACTACCAAATGAAAATTTGTCTGGAGATGACAGAACTTTGGGGAAAAATTTTTTGGGTGACACCGTACTGTATACGTGTGAAAGTTACTACGAGAAAACAGACGGTGTCAGTCATGCCACCTGCACCAGAGATGGATGGACACCAAAACCACTTTGTTATGGTAAACTGAACTTTTTTTTGGGGGGGGGAA